TTTTGTTACTAATGCTTTTTATTTTCTGTTACAGATGGAGAATCTTGGTGAACAAGAAGAGAACTTGAGTGTAGTAGAGGAGCTGGAAATACAGTATTATGAAACACAGTTGGMATTATACAATGTACAGCTTGAAGTATTGAAACATGAAGAGATGCTGCTTATTGTACAGTTGGACACTATTAAGAGACAGATTAAAGGTGAGAATAAAATACTATTTAAGCACATATTCATAACACAGGAGTGACAAAGCCTGCTGTGTTCTCACTTTAAAAAAGAAAAGGATGTCACTGCTTGGGTCTTGTTTACTTGCTTATTAGTAGAAAGCCTTGTTGGAAAACATTAATGCTGTGGCACCATCTGATATTTTGTCTTTTGGTTAATAAGACACTAATTTGGTAACACAAATTTAAAAAAAAAAAGCCACAGTGGTTGCTCATCTTGCCAGCAGCTGTGATATGTGCATGCCCTGGTTTAACATGGAATAATTTATATTGACAGTGCTTAACTGCTTTCATAGTTACAACATCTATGCACAGGAACTGTGGATATTGTGAACCTGCTAAAATAGGTCCTGTAATTCATCATAATAGAGTCTAATYTAACATGTAGAAATTACAAAATACATCCTATAATGTCAAAAAGAGGTGATTATAACTAGAATGGTACCTGAATACTGCTACATTTCAGTTTAGATGTCTCTTTGTGACATGTTTATACCAAATTAGGCACCTGTCTCGTTGTTATTTGTTCTCATGAATTCTGTTACCATGTACACTGTGAAGTAAGCATTGCTGCTGCTTGTTACATAACCAAAGCGTGGTAAATAGTATAATACAACACCCAGTGTTGATCAGAACAGTCTTCATTTTCCAGGAAAACTCCCATTGGTGAAGGTAGGAGTTAAAACACAGGAGACATTTGAAAGAGGAAGCTCAATAACAAATGCTAACAGCATAAATTTGATCCTGCAGAGCACCCCTGTGAGTAACGTGACATGTTTGCTTAAGGCTGTGAAGGACCCAGCTCAGCTCTGGAGCATTACACTTACTCATCACTAACTCACTGCCTTCAATGGCTTTGAAAATGTCATTAGCTCTTTAAATGTTTAAATAACTGTGGCAATTTTTGGTTTCCTAAAAAATGCCAAATGCCTTTTTAGAGCAACAGGATGAAGTTGTTTACTATGATACATGTGAAAACCCTGAGGAGCTGCAGGTCATTGAGCAGACCATGGGACAGCATTACACTGACTTGTCAGCAATGACGCTGCTGAGGCAGAAGAGCAAGCAGCTGGAGACAAAGCGTGGGACTGTCTGTGCCAGGAGAGCCTACCTCAGGAACAAAAAAGTAAATGCAGCCTTGGAGATGTGCATTTTCTGAGCTCACCACTCACGAGGGATGGACAGGAAGCAATTCAGGAAGTTTGGGTGGAGCGTACAAGATGATTCCTGACTCGATGCCAAGGCCTGCAAGCAGAAAGAGGGGCAGTGTGATTTAAGCTAGCTTTATATTTCACGGTGTGTCTCTGGCTTGGAAAGAGAGCACAGACTTGCCCTGGTGACCCAKGTGTTCCCCACTGGTTAGACCTTGCCAGGCTCCTTTGGGAGCTTTGCCCTAGCAGCCTTTTCCAAAGGACAGGAGCAAAGTGGCCTTGTTGAAGGAAGCTGCAGTGACGGCAAAACCCACACTGATACCTTTGAACAGGAGGAAGGGGAAACTTAAAGCTGCAGGTCTCTCTCCAGCCTCTCAGTTCTGTGCAAAGGGCAGTTTTTCCTTTGTTTGCCATTCAGAGAGCTCTAGGAAGACACATGACTCTGAACCTTCCCAGTGAGATGAATTTACCTTACACCTGTAGTTGTGCTGGGACAGAGAGCAGAGTTTAGGTTCCAGTCTGTCTGACCTTTTATCCCTCGCTAGCCTGGACAAACTGTGAATGACATTGGAAATGTCATTCCAAGAGCCATCATTGTCTCTTGCTTGCAATTGCTTCCTTGGCAGACACTTCTTTTGCCTCTGTTTTCATTTGCTTAATTGCTGTATATTGCTTGTATAACACTGAAGCCAAATGCCACATGATTTGCAAATGCTTRTCCAGCCATGTGGATAATCCCCCTCTGTCCAGAGACAAAAAGCACTCCCAGAGAAAATATTGAAGGCTGAAGCTCCTCTTTGGCACCTGTACAGAAACTGCCCTTGCTGGGCACTCTTTCTGCTTCCCATACCTTAACTTCCCTGCCTTTTGTACTTGGGATCTCTGGCTAATAGTGGGGGGTGGGAATAGCCTTGTGTGCTAGATTCCTTCTTGCCTTCCCCCTCAGGTCTTTGCATGAGCTGCTTCTTTTTTTTGTTTTTTTTTTTTTGTTTTTTTTTTTTTTTTTTTTTTTTTTTTTTTTTTTTTTTTTTTTTTTTTTTTTTTTTTTTTTTTTTTTTTTTTTTTTTTT